GTTAAGAACCAAAAGTACATCATATCCACAGATTATCTTTGTCAAAAAGCCATCAACTATAACTACTAACCCGCTCAAAAGGCTCATAGTCAGACTCTTCATCTGAGCTATTATCAAACTGGCGGTAGTTCACAGAGGGCCTGTGTCGAAGCGACTTCCTTGATTTCTCATCTCTTATTGTGCATTGTACTGGATCAGAGGGATTTATAATATCTTTAACATCATCCTGCACATTCTCCAGTGTGTTTCTTGAATTATCAACTCTTACAATGCATTCTATCATATCAGAAGCATTTGCAGGAGCCTTAAGATCACTGTGAACTTTCTGCAAGTTGAACAATGTAATTGGGGCAAAACCCGGTGGCACAGGAGGTATTCCATCAAGGTCATCTTTAATCTGGGATCCTATGCATTCTGCTCCCATTAATACTGAAAGAGAAGATATAACATCAAAAATGCTCTGGAATATACACACATGTAAACAATATAAAATAACTGAAAGAGATTCCTATGTAAAATAACTCATGTAAACAATTGAAATATACACACACATACATACATATAATGTTTGAAAATCATGTTGAGAGAACTCTTCAGAAAAATATAAATTTAATTAAAAGAGATGACTGGAACGACCAAAGAGAAATGCCATGTACAAAAGGGAACACATCCCAGATGCTTGATCAAGATTAGGATAATAGAAGTTGAAAGGTCAGAGTTTGATCATAAAATAGTTTTGACATGTTTACCAACATAGCAGTAATATTAATAAGGAGAAAATTTATTTTGGCCTCAGTGTGGTTTTCTCTCAAGGAAACCCAAATTACTCCATAGCTTATACTAAAATTTTACTTGAAACTGATACTGAATCTACACAAGAAGCATTCTCAAATGCTCTTCTATACATATGGAAACCCCTTCAGAAAACTGAATTGCTTGGAGCATATAAAAAAAAGGAAGATAAATAGATGAACAAGCAGAGAGAAAGGAGAAGATAATGAGAGTTAACTTCCTGTTATATGTCCAATTCACCACTGTAACTCGATCAAAACTTGGTATCATTCGGACACAAAGATAACCAAAGAAACATCAAATTATGACGCGAAATGTTAGTTAAGCAACTGAATTTGATGAAATGTCAAGTCCATATCTCAAGAGCATCACAAGATAAATTTGTTTATCATGTCACATGCTACAATGTTTCCTTGCAATATGTGTTGTTCAAACAAAGAACAATAGTGCTGTGATTCCATAAAACTTAAATACTGATTTCAGTTATCAATATCGAGATTAAATTGGGATGTTTGCAATTCAGCAGGGAAATGTTGAAGCATTACGTTACGTCTTAACTGACATTAGAGTTATTTAATAAAGACAAAACAAGCATCTAAAACATGATCAAAGTCTGAACCAAGAGGTCTAGATCATGTCATCTAAACTATCGAGAACCAAATTAGCATCAAAAACAGCAAAAAAGTGTTACAGACTTGTAGCTAAAATCCTAACGGACCTGAGCTTTAAAAGGTCAAAAAAGGATCCTACATAAGATGTCCAGTTACAATTACCACAAAGAAGCTACACAAAGTTCAAACCTGCATCCACTGCTATGCTCCTGGAAACTACAACCTCGATAACCTATATTAATTAGTAAAATAGTGTGATCATCTGGATCTAACCAATTCGGAGTCCTGCAACTGTAAACTAGATTTTCATCAGCAAAATAATCGATCAAGATCAATGTAAAATACAAAACATCATGAAAATAAAAAACAACATGCAAATTAGAACATCATATGCACGCTGGCCAGAAGATGAGTACAGAAAAAGCGAGGTAAAACAGAATCTAACAAAAGGGCATGGAAGACGCAAGTTACTCGATCGACTCACGAGTTCTTGAGCCGGAGCCCGTTCAGATCTCCTGCTGTCAGAGGGCTGGTGGATCGGAGGGCAACTTGCGGCAGCTGGATCAAGAAAGAGATCGAAAAGGAACCTAGTAATTTGCTAAGTCAGGTGCCAAAAAGGGGTCAAGAAACAGCAAATTGATCTGACCGCCACTACCCGAACCCAAATTGCGATCAGGCTCCCCCGCAAGGTATTCCCGCAGGAACCGTCTTCCCCGCCCGCTAATCGATCAAGAAGTTGCGCAGAAAGCACAACCGGGGGAGGGGGGGTGACGGCCCTAAAATTGAGGCCCTGATGACTCCATCCATCAACAAAACCGAGAGAAAACAGAAGTAATCAAGAAGATCTGTTGGATCTTCCTCAAGATCGACCGTGCCAATTAGGTCTTCGTCAGATCCCCAAATCGATACACATTCTCACGATCGGGTCGTTGATAGTTTCCCGAGTGTAAATTAATGATGTGATTACCAAGAGGTTGCGATCCGTGAAGGATTCAAGGAAAAGGGGCAAGCAATTCCAACACAAGGGGATTGTCTCGTCGACGGAGCACTTGGTAAAGACGTCTTCATCCTTATCTTCCAAGGAACAATAACAAATTTTGGCAAGGAAGACTAATATTATCTGTTATTAGTATTCCGGGGTGGGCATTAGGAGGAGTCCGTGAATACGCACTTTGGTCGAGCGGACGATGGATCAAATCGATGTGCCGCATCAAAGGCGTAGTCGAGCTGGCCCGAATCCGATGTGGTCGAACGAGAACCGGAACCGTCCGATGGATCGCCTGCTGATGCATGTCGATGCGATTGGTCTTCGTTCGAGAGCTGTCATGATGGGAATAGAATTTGTGTTTCGTGGTTTTTTGTTAACTGATGAGGATGATAATGTGGTGTTAGTCATTTATCTTATCTAAGCCGATCCTTGTTTTTGCTTTGTTAGTATAGATTCTACCGAGCTTCATTTTTTGGTTCATCTCAAGTTGAGACGCCACGAGACTCGATGATTACTCTATAAATAGTACTTGCACCCATGAAAATTGATTATGTGGAAGTAAATGTACTCGGTTGGAGAGACTATCTTAACATTAGGAATAGAACATTTTTGTAGTGACAGGTGAGTATTGAACTGAGGTTATGATATATACGGGAAATAATTACATCAATGAGCTATAAAATTATATGTTAAATATAAAGATTCAAAGTAACAACTAGTCGAGTTAACTTTAATGTCAATGCCACCTGATTGATCTTGTAGGACCGAATTGGCATTATCATTAGTGTCATACTATTAGCCTCCTAGCCATGTAGGTTTGGTCCCTCCTATTGAATAGGATTAGAGTGTTGATTAGATGAAAAATTATGTGTTAGATGTTTGTTTATGTGTCATATCTTCGTTATCATGGTTAATATAATAATTGATGCTTAAAACATTAATTTGATTATGATGTATGATATGTATTTAAACAAAATTAAAAATTTCTAGGATGCATGAGACAGTGATAGCGAGTCTGATTCCGTTAGGATGTGTTTAATTCATGTCTCTTTCGAGTCCTACCAACACTTGGTTCCAAAGAGGAGGTACCTTGGAAGCTGAAAATTAGTCTCTCATGGCTGCGAACACTATCAAGGTGACAATAAACCCATATTAACCATTTTAGCTAATCACGTGGGAGTCGACCTTAATGAAACCACGTTTGCAGCTTTTGTACTTAATCTATCTATCACGTAACTAATACATTTTTCTTTCTTTCCACAAAAAAGTAAAAGAATTCATGTCGAGTTCGAATCCCTTTATATCTCCGCTCATTTTATATATATATATTATACCATAATGTTAATGACTTAGTTGAAATTGCATAAGCCATGAGGCATCATTGCGGTAAAGTTATGAACTTAGCTTAAGTTACTTAAGTCATGAATCACTCTTATGTCAACTCTTTAGACATAGTTGGGATTGCATAAGTCATGAGATGTCCTTGCGACATATGCGCCTGTAAAGAATCAACCTAATTATAATCTCGTACAGATTTAAAAGTTGATTAGAATGAAAACGAGCATGAACAAGTCCTGACGTATTGCAAAAAATAAAGCTTTACAAGCAATTCAGTAAGCACTTTAAAAGATAGAACGAACAATTGCAAGTTTACAAACAATTGCTCACTAGGTGCTGGGCATGAAGGCAAGTTCCCGTCAAATTAATGTACGAACTTGTGAAGATTATTCAACACTCGATAATATACCGAAACCCAATCTAGTCACCCGGGGGGTTCTAGGGGGCTAAAATGATTGACATTTTATGTACAACCACAGTTTATAGAAAATAGGTCATGACACATCAAAACAGAACCATTTTGGGGTTGTTTTGCTTGGCACAATCAGCGATCGCACTAT